GGGAAAGAGGGGAAATTCAGGTGAGGGTTTTGGTTCCCTCTCCCCCCCTCCCTGGCGTTCCTGGGAGCTCATCTCTGTGTCAGCTGCCCTTCCTGTGGATGTCATTGCAGAATGTTCCATCAGTGTCACACTATTAGCTTCAAAACATGCTTGGTTTTTGGGGAAAAAAAGAAAATCCTTGTTAATATACTGGAAATACGTGTCTGTTTTAGGGAGGCTGTTGGCTTGAGGCAGCTTGAGATTGCCTCAGGTGCTGGTCACGTTGGGGTCTCTCTGAAACAAACCACATATTCCTCTAGGAATATGCAATATTGATTATTTGTAGGCTGCAGTGTTGACGTGGCTCCTCCAGGAAAGGGAATTCTCTTTTTCTGAATCTAGTATTTAAAGGTGACATTTGGTTTTGGGTTTTTTTCTCTTAGAAGACAACTTATTTTTATATTTGTTTGGAACCAAGTGCTGTCCTCCTGGGCTGCGAGAAGTGATGCAAATCTTATTTTCTACGACCTTGGCAAAACTTTGTCCTTGTGTTCTCTCTTTCTGATAAAAGCTTGTGTTTGCATTCATGTTTTTAAGAAACGTTCCCCACATCCATTCTGCCCTGAATGCCAGGCCTGATTAGAAGCCATATCTGTTAACTTAGCCTAGGTTGACTTTGTGATACTATTTATTTTGGTCGTGTAATTGAACAAACTTGCTCTCTCTGTGGCACTTCTCCCATTGCAGCGGTGCTCGTTTGTTCTCAGAGGTGGCAGGTACGTTCCATACCTGAAAGGAAGGACTATTTGTCCTCCATCTCATGTCCTCAAACACTGTCTGAGACCCACCCTGGACACTATCTCCTCTGACCTTGCTTGTGCTTGCAGATACCCCTTGGAGTTTTCCACTTCTGTGTTTAAAGAACACTCAGAAATCTGGTTTTAGTCACTCGGTGCCTTCATCATCTCACTTGAGCTCAGCATTCACAAGTGCCTGCGTCTGCTAGACAGGAATTCATGTCATAAATATTATCTCTGCCTCTGTGTTGGTTTCTGAGCTGTTTCCTTGAGTGTAAGGTTGCAAAAGCCTTCAAGAGACGTTCTAGACAGCTTTACGTGATGTTGCTTGTGCTATAAAGTTGTGACTTGGGTGTTTCCACCCCCTGTTCATAGAATTGAGGCAGCAAGAGAAAGAAAGGGAAGGGGAGGAGTTTTTGTCACCCTGGAGCTTCTTGACTAGACGTTTCCTTCTGTGAGTTGTTTTGACAATGGTGATGAATCTAACAATCCAGGGTTTGCAGTACACCCTGAAGTGTTCCTTACACAGTCTGATGTGATTTTTTGGCAACACTTCTCTGTGACTTGTGGTTCTGACTTGCAGTGACTTGGAAGCTGAGAACATTTGCTCAGGCTTCTTGCACCCAGCTCCGTGGTGCTGCCTGACTGAGGGATGAGCTGCCTGGTCTGTTGGTTACACTCATATTGTTACTTCAGGAAAGATACTAAAAACAATTCAGTTTCTACTTCACAATTAAGATCCATTTCTTCTGATTTCTGCAATTAAGGAAAAAAAAAGTCCATCTGAGGGGCCTGGGAAATGTGCTCTTAAGGGCTTTGATTGGGAAAGGGATCCCTGTCTTCTCCCCAAGGCGTGAGCACTGCAGAAGTAACTTTCTCTTTTCAAACTTCATGAAGACCAGATCTGTGGAAACTAGCATGAAAGAAAACAGTTAACTGTGTTTCTTCTAAGTCCTCGAGAAGCACAGGCTCCTGTTTGGAGGGAGAGACCAGCTCTTTTCTCATCTAAACTATTTGATCCAGACCTGGCTCTGATGTAGAACATGGAGCTCCAGGAGGTAAAAGAAGAATGCTGCTTTCAGCTTTACTCATTATTTCCCCTGATGACCTAAAACATCACAGGGAATACAGAATGTCTTACTTGCCATATCTTGAAAAAAAGAATTATTAATAATAATTTATTTATTTTTAAATGATAGATGTTTTTCCTGTTGCCAGACAGGAGGGACTGGGCTAAGGCTGAGTGAACACACGTCCTGCTTTATCTGCAGCAAGTCTTTACTATCTTTGTGTGCTTTTCCTCCAGTATTTGCTTTGTGGAATATGTTTTTTTAAAAAAATATTCTTTAGATTAAACCATACCTATTATGCAAGGGCTTTTTTAACATGGGATGGCAGTGAGTGATTCATGCTCATTTCATAAAAATAAATGAGATGTGTCGGTCGTCCGGTCCCCACCCGCTGGGAGAGATGATTCAGAAAGTGCTTGTATAGGATGGGGTGCCTTGTTTTCCCTCTGTGCCTCATTCCCTGACACTACTGTGCTGATCATGTTTATCTACCTTTTCTTTCTTTCTTTTTTTTTTTTTTTTCCCCCCTGAAAAGACACCACCCAGCCTGAAGCCTGGTGGTTATTTAGTGTGACGTGACTGCATTTCTGCTCTGCCCTCCTGATCCTATTACTGCCTTGCCCGCTGACACAGAACACACCATTCAGAGCACCCCAAATAAATCACACTGTGTTTGCACTTTATTGCCTCTGGGACCTAAAAAGATATCTATATATATATGTAGATAGATATAGATATATTTTAAAATTGCATAATGATGTTAATCACTTTGTTGAGTAAATAATTGTATTTATCATAGCCCTGTTTATTTTGCTAATTGAGAGAAGAATGGGAATCACATCCTGGGGGGAAATTTAGCAACTGAATTCTAGGGAATTTGGAAGCAACTGGATTTGCTTACAGCTCAGTTTGCTTCACAGGATAAATGTCATTAAATATAGTTATTAGTTTCTTTGTTTTAATTTCTATTTTAAAAGAGATTATTTGCTGAAACACGAGACTAAAGTCTTCTTTACATAGGAAAACTAAGTGTTTTAATACTTCAGAGTGAAGAGAGCAGCTGTCCCATGACAGACACTTAACTGGAAAAAATAAGAGGCAGCAGCTCAGGCTGAGCTGGCGTTCCTGGCTTCACATCTGGGCCACTTGAAAACTCTCCTGGTTTTTGAACTTGCTTTACGATGTCTGTGCTTCACTGCAGTTCAACCTCCCTCTTCTCACAAAATAGAATATTTTGGTGCAGGGGTCCTTATTTTGTTTGGTTTTTTTCAGAAATGCTCATAAGTGCCAAGAAATCAGGTGGCCTTGATTGCTGAGAGGAGAATGATACTGTATTTCCTTGAGTCCTAAAAACATTAAAATAGGAAGGAGGCTCTAAGCATTCTTGTGACTGTGATGGTTTTTCATGTTTCCCAGTTAAAAGAACACACAGCCCAAATTCCCTCATTTCACCTCAGAAGCAGATGCAGTTTGTTAAAGAGGCAAGTTCTTGGCTGTCCTGTTCCTTAACAAAAGATGCTAAAAGAAGGAGAGTCCTTTAAACCAGCGAAGAAATCCCAAACCTGTTTGCACTCATCTCTTGCTAAGGTTCTTTCAGCTTGCAGACTGACAGGATGTGATGACATTTCCCTGTAGTTTTTCTTCACGTGTCTTCTGATTCATTCATTTTCTCTGGCCTCTGCCTTTCCCTTTGGCTTCAGAATAATGTTACTCTAACAGCTTCTGTCTCTTGGGGAGAAGGGGTTTAGGAGTTTTCAAACCACACCTGCTCTTGCAGGGGATGAGCAACCTTGGAACTTGCTGGAGAATGGTTTGCTTGGCCATTCCCTAGCTGGAGTGTTACCTAGGCAGGAAACACTTCCCACACATGGTTGCTTCAGAGTTTCTCAAAGCTTTGCTTGGCTGGAATAATTCTGAAAAAGACAGAGTCTGTGGGTTCTCAAGGGGAGCA